GTTGTATAATTTTTGGATCATTTTATCGTTAGATGACAGTCAAATCTTATCTAAATCATTTTAGTTTCATAAAAGCCGATTTTATGTCTTTGTTGAATCTATTAGTTAGTTGTACCATTTCCCACCATGTTATTTTTATATTTTGTGTGTGAAGTTTCTCCTCTGATTTCAATTTATTATCTTTCTCTAATAATGTATTGTAGCTCTCTTGTTTATCCTTGGTGATCAGTGTGGGCTTTATAAAGGCTTCTAAAGGTGAAACCCATTTGGGAGTTTTCTCGTTAAAGTGCTCTTTTATTTCTTTCCAAGTTTTTATTAACACACCTCTAATTGTATGTTGCTGAAAGTTTGTATAGACTTTTTCCTTTCCATACCAAACATATGCATGCCATCCCATAGACAAGTTGTGGCCTAATTTTAAAAGTCTAGTATTTTCCAATAGTAACCACCCTTTTATCCACCCCAATGCTACCACATTATAATATATATTCCAGTTTGTTTATCTGCAAAGAAGCTCGCAAAAGCCTCGCAGCCTATGTCCAATTCCCTAATATTTTGTCTGCCCTGAGGCAAGGATGTTAAAGACCGAATTACCCTAAATAGTTGGGCCGGGCGTGAGCTAGCAGACGCAATCGAGGCCGCATAGAAATCTCTCTTTGCGGCCTTGACTGCCATCACATAGGAATTCATAAGCGTCCTGTAGGATGTTCTGGACACTTCGTCACGAGCGCGACGCCACCGTCTCTCTAGCCATCTCAGTTCCCGCTTCAGCGAGCGCAACTCCTGGGTATACCAGGGTGCTCGCCTCACACGGGTGCGGAGAGGGCACCTGGGAGCGATCTCGTTGATGGCTGAGGAGAGCCGGCTGTTCCAGTCCTCCACCAGCTTACCTTTTTTAGATATTTCCATAGATGATATTTTTTGTATTTGTTCTTTTTGCTTCTGTGTACAATTTTTTGTTAATTCATCTTTTTATAATTTATTTTAAGACTCGCTATTTGTCCATATTCTTGAATTGTTTCTATAAGGTGGGATAAGGATATTAATGGTTCCTCCACTATGAAGACCAGATCATCAGCAAATGCTTGCAGTTTAAATTCCTCTTCTTTTATCTTAAGATGTCTTATCTGCTTATTTTCACATATTAAATAATTTAATGTTTGTAGAGTAAATATGAACAATAGTGGAGATAGCGGACAGCCTTGTCTCGTATCTTTTTGTATAATAATATTTTGGGTTACATCATCATTTATTATAACTTTTGCCAATTGAGTGGTATATATTGCTTTTATGACTGTAAAAAATTTAACGCCACAATCCCAGGTTTCCAACTTTTGTAACATAAAGTCCCAGCTAATGTTGTCAAATGCTTTTTCGGCGTCCAAAAATATTGAAGCCAATTGTTTTTCGGGATGCATTTCATAATATTCTAAAACGTTAAGAATGGTCCGTATGTTATTTTTAATTTGTCTTTTCGGTAGAAAACCTGCCTGATATTGGTGTATAATTTGTGCTAACACTTTTTTCAGTCTTGTGGCTATTATTGCTGCAAAGATCTTATAATCCGCATTTAGTAATGAGATTGGCCTATAATTCTTAATTTCTTTTTCATCAGAGTTTTGCTTATAGATTAATGTGATCACCAGTTTGGTGTAGTGGTTAAGTGCGTGGACTCTAATCTGGGAGAACCGGGTTTGATTCCCCACTCGTCCACTTGCACCTGGCTGGATGACCTTGGGCAAGCCATAGCTCTGGCACAGCTGTTCTTGAAAAAGAGCAGTTTCTGTCAAGAGCTCTCTCAGCCCCACCTACCTCACAGGGTGTCTGTTGTGGGGAGGGGAAGGGGAAGGAGTTGGTAAGCCGCTCTGAGACACCTTTGGGTAGTGAAGGGGGGGGTATAAATCCAATCTCCTCCTCCTCCTCCTCTTCTTCTTCTTCTTCTTCTTCAATGCTTGATTCCATGAGTCTGGGAGTTTTCCCATTATTGTTATGTTATGCAGTACTTCTTTAAATGGCAGTATTATTTGGTCTTCCAATTTCTGATACATCTCCACAGGTAGTCCATCCGGTCCTGGTGTTTTGTTTTGTTTTTTGTTTTTTAATCGCTTCTGTAATTTCACAAATTGAAATTCTTTCATTTAGTATAAGTTTCTGTTTCTCATTAAAAAAATTGTATTCCATTTTTGAAGAGATTCCTTTTTTATTTGTCTTGTTTCTTTTGCGAGTATAGCTCTTTAAAAAAGCTTTCTGTTATAAATTTTAAATCTCGCAACTTATGTTTATCTTCTCCTTTCTCATATCTTAATGCTGTGATAATCTTTTTTCCTTTTTCTTTCCTCAATTTATAAGATAACCATCTAGTTAGTTTATTTGCATTTTCAAAGTAGTAGTGTTTGGCGTACTTTTTTGCAATTTCTTCCATCAATAGTAAGTTCATTTGGTGTTGTAACTGTCTTAATTTCACTTTTATTTTCCCAGAATCCTTAGTTTTCTTCATCTGATCTTCTGTGGGGGGTTTTGTTCCCTAGATCTCCATATTGCTTTCTTCTTTGTTTATTTTTCCAAGCCACTTGGTTTATAAGCCAACCTCTTATAAATGCCTTGAATGTTTCCCAAACTGTTTCAATCAATATATCTGGTTGTATATTCCTTTTGAAAAAGTCTTGGATCTCTATTTTGGTTTTCTTTATAAACTCTTCATCCCGTAGTAAGTTGTTCATGGACCATCTTGTCTTTATCTGTGCTCCTTGAACTGTTAACATTAATGGACTATGATCTGCGAATGTGTTTGAAACTCTGCATACCTTGCCTTGTTGAGCTTTAGTGTTTTTAGCGTTTTTCTCCCAGTGTGGCAGACTTCCAGTTTGGGAGCCTGGTTCAGAGAAAATATGCTTCAAACTGCAGCGTACCGCAAGGTAAGGGGTAACCTCTCAGCTGCATTTCAATAAAGATAACTCAGACCTGAGAAAATCCTAGAACCATTATGAGTTTCAGTATGTTCTGTTTTGTTTTTCTGGCTTGGCTTTGAATAGGTCAGTTACACCTCAGTTCCAAGGTCACTGCTGGAAACTTATTTCTCAAGTACACAGGCTTCAATCCAAACAGAATACAGATAGAAGGAGCCTTCAGCTTTCCTGTCACTTGGTCTTCTCCACCTGAATTTGCCCCAGGGGCACTATTAACCCCATTTGGGGCTGCACATGTACTGGTGCACATGTACAAGCAATCCAAACTTATATAGAATCAGAAAGCCCTCCCCACAGTCACTGAGATAGAGCAATGATTGACAGAAAGTGAAAGCACTATAAAGAAACATCAATAGGGTTGATCCAGTTTGGCAGGGACGTTGGTTAATTGTTCTGGATGGATGATGTCCCTGCCACAGACATATCTATAGAGGTGCTCTTTTCTGTCACTTTTTTTTTTTAACCAGAACATTTTATTCGTATTCAACCATAAAGTATAACAACAAACAGCAAAAGTTACAGAAATCTACTTATCCTACCAATGCAATCAAATATACAATCAAAGAGAGGTTCCACGGAACAAAGCCATAAAGGTCATAGAAACATTAACCCAATAGCAACAACTTATACTTCGCATTGTAAATAGTTTTCCAGTCAAAATCATCAAAAGTGAGTTTTTCGATGATGGGATACCATTTCCCAACAGGACTAAGTATTTCACATTCATTTTGGTCTGTGGTGTTATAAATAGAAATGGTGTCATACAAAAAGTATCTCCAAACTTTATAAAGCCACACATTCACAGATGGAGGATCTTTATCCTTCCATTTCGTCGCTATAGTGCTCTTAGCAGCTGCTAATAAGATATTTATTAATTGTCTTTGATTGTTTGAACAAACCCCTTCCGGCCACAGGTGTAAGAGCATGAGTTTCGGATCTAGAGGTATGTCATAACCTGTGAGAGTAAGTATTTTAGTTTTCACGTCCATCCAAAACTGTCACTTTTCATCCACTGTCCTGCTACCCAAGTAAATAAAATCACTGAGGTGTCAGGATAATTGTCAGAGGAGAAGTTTTCTATTCACTTCCATCCCTGGCAACAGTAACCCCTACAGGAAGGAAAAGCATATTATCCAGAAGTCAAGTAACAGATGATTCAGATCGACATATGCATGCATATGTACGTATAGAACAGCAAACCAGCTAGCTCAGATAACAAGCAAGATCAAAAACAGACAACAAAAAGTATGTGAATTCTAGAAAAAATGTGCATAATAATCACCATTAAAATATTTGTATATCTTGATTATTGGGTCTGGGCTGTTTTTTCAAATGTGCTATTCTGAACAGGTAGGCAAGGGTTTGTGCGCATGCAAATGGAACTATGTGCCAATATTGTGTGCTTGCTGTGTCGATATCCCTCCAGTAATTCCATCAACAGCAGCAAGAGAGGAATACAAAAACCAGATTTAGAATGGGTGGAAGGAGGAAAGAGGCAGACAGTGCCTGCCACTGCCAGACAAACACGCATTCCATTATATCCCAGTGCTCAATCTCATTTGCTGTGCTGTGTGTGTCTTTAAACAATTGTAAGTTACTTAGATGCAATAGAATAAGATTGCTGGCTGAATCTCTGGCACTCCGTGTCTGCATTGCAGTCCTGTACAATAGAGCCATTTCAGTGGAACTGGAGGTATGCTTCATCATCTTCTGTGTGTTCATCTTTTATTCACATGTCATTTCCAGTTAACAGGAAAAGAAACAGGCTTTCCATAGAATGTCATCCGCTGTCATTTGGGACTTTGACCTGTGATACAGAGACAGCTGGTAGTGCATTGGTCGCTTTATGGGGGGGGGGGAAGACTGGTGAATTCAATCACCAGAACCAATTTTCTCCCATTCTAATTGACTATCCTGTGAACAATGACTTTCCTCTTTAAAATGCATCTGAACTAACTCCCTCAGTATGTTCCATCGATTTCAGTTAGCCTAGGCACACAGTCATCTGAAAAGAACAACTCAAAACACATTTACCATATAATCCAGATCTGCAAAGTTGTCCGTAAGTATTTGGGATCCATTAAGTCTTTGAATCGACCTCTTCTTTCCTGAAAACAATCATTTAAAGGTAGAAATAAGTTAGGAATGCACCATTGAAACCTATCTATTTCTAAAGTACCAGGGCTGGAAGCAGTTTCAGGACTATAATCTAATGAAGTCAAACAGTTGATGGAAAGATGGATTTGTTGGTGACAATTAACCAAGACAGTAAACTGGAACCTTCATTTATGGTGGCTCCCAAATGGTGCCAGTTGTGGGGGACAAACAATAGAAGGCAAACTGTAGCCATTTTTAAATGTTATGTTACATTTGTTTGTTTATCAGATTTATATCCCACTCCATCTCCCCCGAAAGGGACTCGGGGCAGCTAACGGCATATAGAATACACCAATAAAAACAATGCAAAGATATGATAAATAATCTTTAAAATATAAAACAGTTAAAAACCTATCCCCATTAAAATCTATCCACTGTCAAGCAGGGTAGGACGCATGGATGATGAAGACACAGCTGAAGTATACTGGCTGACTGGTGGAACACAATCATCCAAAGGCTGCCTAAAAAAGAGCAGCTTTACATGCCCTGTGGCCCAGAGAAATGGCAGCTCGCTGACAAGGAGTAGGCCCTTGCCCTTGTTGGTGCAAGGTGGGCAGTTCATAGACCAGAGACTGTCAATAAATTCAGAGCTGAAGATTGGAGAAGAGGGGGAGGATCATACCAGGAGAGGTGGTCCCAAAGGTATGAGGGTCCTAGGCAGTTTAGGGCTTTAAAGGTAAATACCAACGCTTTGCATTGGCACCAGAAACTAATTGGGAGACTGTGTAACTGCCATAGGATAGGTGTTATATGCACTGACAGGGACACTCCTGTCAGCCATCTGGCAGCTGTGCTCTGGACCACTTGTAGCTTCCGAAGCATCTTCAAAGGTAACCCTGCATGGTATTCCAGTCTCGAGTATTCCAGTCTCGAGGTGACTATGGAGTGAATAACCATGGCAAGGTCCTCCCGAGACAGATAGGGAGCATTTTGCGTAGATGGCAAAATGCAATCTTTGTCACCAAGGATACGTTTGTTCATGGAAAGCAAAGAATTAAGACACACTCCCAAATTCCTGACAGAATCGACTGTAGAAAGATGGACCCCATCAAGAGTCAGTAGAAGTGGCCACCCCAGTGGTCAAGACTTCCCCAGCCACATAATCTCATATGGATTTAGCTTCAAGAAACTCTCACCTAGCTGTTCCACCAATGCATCCAGGGAGGAGGCCAAGATTAGAATTCCAGCTACCAGTCACTCTTTAAATAAGAGGGAGGGCTGGGTATCATCTGTGTATTGATGGCACCCCACTCCAAACCTCCTGACAATCTCCGCCAGAGGGCACATATAGATGTTAAATAACGTTGGGGAGAGAATCAGCCCCTGCAGAACTCCACAGGTCAGTGCCCGCAGTGATGACCACCCCTGATTACCCTGTGGGACTGACCCTAGAGGAATGAGGAGAACCAGCTCAAGGCCATACCCCTCATACCCAGGGAGACTAGGTGGTTGACCGAGACCAAATGGTCTACTGTGTCAAAGGCAGCAGACAGATCCAACAGGATCAGTAGTGCCATCCCACCTGCATCAAGGTGTAACCAGAGATCATTAATCAGAGCAACCAGAGCTGTCTCAGTCTTGAACCCCAGCTGGAAGCCACACTGGAAGGGATCTAGGGCAGATGTCTCTTCAGGAATTCCTGGAGCTGTTCAGCCACTGCTTGCTCAATCACCTTTCCCAGAAATGGAAGATTAGATACTGGGAGGCAATTGGCTGGGTCCCTCTCGTCTAACAATGACATTGCAGGAGGGGTGTCACCACTGCCTCCTTGAGGGAGCTAGTGAAAGAGCCCTGGGAGAGTGAGGGATTTATAATGTTCCCCAGAGCTCCTCCTACCACTTCCCTGGAGGCTTTCATCAACCAAGAAGGGCAGGGATGTTCACACATACTGGGAGCCCAGCAACTATGCACAGATTCTCCTGATGGGGATGGCCAACCTGTTATTTGAACAGGGGCAACACAAAAATTTTGCATGCACATCAGGCCTTGATGTACACCAACCCACCACTGGACTTCCCATGGTCCTGGCGTGTGTGTACCAAAGCTAAACACACATGCAAAATACACATATAATCTCGGTGACTGTGCTTATCAGGAGCATCCCAGCCAGGCAGCACCTGCTTCTGATACAGATTTGCTGGGCTACTGGTATTCATGGAATTGCTGGCTATGCGCTGTAACAATAAAATTCATTCATTCATTGGTATTCATGGACATACTCTCTGAAAAGAGCTATCCATACATGACATTGTTGACAATTTGTCATATAGGAGGGCTGGAGAAATTATTCATATGAGATGCCACAGGTAGGTGTCAGTTTCAGATTTAGCTCAGCTCAGTTAATCCGAAAGCCATTCCAGTGGAAGCTGCGTGGAAACTGAGCACTGGCATGACCCAGTCACCGTTCAGCACTTCTAAGGAGCTGATTCAGGGTTAGAGAAAGATGGAGCTGCTGCCACTCTGTGTCTTTTGCCCCCCACCCCCACTCTTCCTTTGTATTCCCTGTTGGAAGGGTACTGGTTCTGGTGGTCCAGATCCTTCTTACTTAGCAGAGTGCATTCAGCTTTAGAGCAGCAGTTCTTTGTCCCCAACCTGCCATGTGCTTACAAGTTCGCAAAGTCATACAGAGCCACATTTCAGTTTAAATGAAACTAATAACTATTTTATTCTAGAAATACATACTTGATGGTGCAGAGTAGAGAAGTAGAGACAGTTTTCCGATGCTGTCTAGCTAGCAGATGGATGAGGATGCAGAGAGGAGCATCCTGCATCTCCATCTTGTGTGCATGGAAGAGAGAGAGAGAAGAGAGGGGGAGACGGAAGGAAGTTCCCTTTCCCTAAAGAGTATTGATCTACACTTCAAAGAGAATCAATGACAATAGAGTAAACAGGAAGATGCTTAGCGTTTGCCTATCTGCCTGCAACTCTCTGTGGTCACTGGTCTTCTGGAGGCTGAGATGCAGGGACATCGCATCTGGTACTTCCAACATCCCTTCCCCACCACCATCCAGTGACATGAGATAGGGACGGGACTGGGAGGCCTGTGCACATCACAAAACTTGTTGTTCTCCACTATACATTATGGGAAGGAAGAAGAAAGCCAAAGAGTGGCAGCAGCTCCATGTTTCTCAAAAGGTCTACTTGGACCCTCTCTCATGGCTGACTGACAGCTTGCCAGTACTATATCATATACTGACACACTCTTCCTTTGTATTCCCTGTTGGAACAGTACTGGTTCTGGTGGACCAGATCCTTCTTACTTGGCGGAGTGCATTCAGCTTTAGAGCAGCAGTTCTTTGTCCCCAACCTGCCATGTGCTTACAAGTTCGCAAAGTCATACAGAGCCACATTTCAGTTTAAATGAAACTAATAACTATTTTATTCTAGAAATACATACTTGATGGTGCAGAGTAGAGAAGTAGAGACAGTTTTCCGATGCTGTCTAGCTAGCAGATGGATGAGGATGCAGAGAGGAGCATCCTGCATCTCCATCTTGTGTGCATGGAAGAGAGAGAGAGAAGAGAGGGGGAGACGGAAGGAAGTTCCCTTTCCCTAAAGAGTATTGATCTACACTTCAAAGAGAGTCAATGACAATAGAGTAAACAGGAAGATGCTTAGCGTTTGCCTATCTGCCTGCAACTCTCTGTGGTCACTGGTCTTCTGGAGGCTGAGATGCAGGGACATCGCATCTGGTACTTCCAACATCCCTTCCCCACCACCATCCAGTGACATGAGATAGGGACGGGACTGGGAGGCCTGTGCACATCACAAAACTTGTTGTTCTCCACTATACATTATGGGAAGGAAGAAGAAAGCCAAAGAGTGGCAGCAGCTCCATGTTTCTCAAAAGGTCTACTTGGACCCTCTCTTTCACTGATTTCATTGGGAGTATTAAGCACACACCTAAGTTCCTCCAGTGGAAGCAGATGTATTATCCGTTCAATGTATTTATTTTATTTTGATTCCACCCTTCCTCTGAGGAGGTGAGTGTGGCTTACAGGGTTGTCCCATCCACTATTTTATCCACACAGCCACCCTCTGATGTAGGGTAAGCTGAGACTCAGGAGTCACCCAGTGAGTTCCATGGTTGAATAGGAATTTGAACCTGGGTTTCTCCAGTCATACTCAGACACTCTAAGGGTGTGGTCACACACACCAGATAAGATGGTGGGGAAGTGAGGCTATTTCCTCCGGAGGGATTTGACCCACAGTCGCATGATCACACCTCCCTTTGAAGCTGTAGGCGCAGTCCGTCAGTGTGTGATCAGACGCAACTGCGGGTGAGTCTTTTTTCCCCATGCCATTTGTTTCCCATGCGCTTAAACAAGGAATCAGTTAATTGCACCTCCACATTGAGGGCTCCCTATGGAGTTTGTGACGATGCACATACTGCGAAGAAGGGGGGGGGACAACAGCACGGAGTTGGGATGGCCTGATCAGACTATCCTGATGGCATGAGAGTGCGCTGGAGCAATTAGACTTGGTAATGTCCGTCCATGGCCCATCGCAACCCGTTTACTACTGGATTTTCCCCGGTGTCTTTTAACTCCACTTCTGCAGCGGAGCAGAATGGGTTGCTGATGGTTGCAGGACGCTTCCCACATGTTGTCTGATTGCGCACTTTAAATCCACCTGGCATTCGCACCTATGTCGGATCTAATTGTGTGTATGATCACAGCCTAATAATGCTACACCACTCTGGTTTTGTCATGTCACAATTGTGCCCTATGTTGGTTCTAGGTATATTGGTAGAAAAGGACCGTGACTGCCATCTTTGTCTAGCAGGCAATACTCCTGATTGTGTCATTTGAGGCAACATGGTGTCATGCTTGGAGTGTTGCACTAGGATCTGGAAGGTCCAGGTTCAGATCCCCAATCTGCCATGGAAGCTTGCTGGGTGACCATGAGTCAATAATTCTCCTTCTGCCCACCTTACCTCACAAGGTTCTTTTGTGAAGACAAAATGGAGGATGATTTGGTAAGCTTTTTTGGGTCCCCATTGGGGAGGAAAATGGGATATAAATATCTAAATACATACCTTTCGTCTTATATGATAACTACCCTCCCCATAAATCATGTGACTTCGTAATGAATATTTATTTCATCTGAAGGTCAACCACCAAGTATAATGATATTATTCTGAATCTTACATTAACAGGTTCCACGAGCTTTCCTTCGGGCATGACGGAATGGTTCATCTTGGCAATCCACTGCAGCGTTGCAACGGCAGCTTTGTCATTTCCACTAGAAACATTATACCGAGCAGATTCAGGGATAAACTACAAATACAAATGGATTAGCTGCAGCATTTCCAGTGTTGTTCTGGATTCTTAAATACTAACTTGACTGAGGTCTTTCCTTTAAGAGGGAGCATTGGTCAGGAGCCTGTCTCAGGATTTAGGTGGGGAGACTCTCTTGCCAGGTGCCCTCCCCTTCAAGTTCATAGTTTTTTTTTAGTTCGGCACTCCAACGGTCTGAGGGACAGTGAACTGGCCCCCTGTTTAAAAAGTTTGAGGACCCCTGCTTTAAGGTTACAGAACTCACAGCAGTGCACATGTAAATATATACTACTGAGTGGTTCACACAGGACTTGTGAGCCATTTACTGGCACAGCATGGAAAAATATAATATGGGACTCAGGCTGTCACAGCTACTGTCAAAAGTAATTCTGGTGACTGCAATCATTTGAAAAAATTGTGCCACAAGCACTGTAATTGTTACAGACCACAGGATGTAGCTGTCTTACGTATGGAGTCAGACCATTGGTCTACCAAGGTCAGCACTGAATGACAGCAGCTCACCAGGGTCTCAGTAGAAGTCTTTTACATCACCTGTTACATATATTTTTTTAAAAAAATGGAAGATGCTGGGGATTGAACTAAGAACCTTCTGCATGCAAACAGGTGTTATAATGCTAAGCCACAGCCCTTCCCTGTACCCTGTAACTTCATTCTCAGCTAATGCTGGAGCTTTCCTCTGATGCAAGGCGGACCCTTCTGCTAATGCAGGAGGAAGGCTCTAGTGTTAGTAGAATGGAATCATAACATACAACCCAATGTCCACAATGGACAGAATCTTTTGTGTTTGTGTGGGATCTGACTCATGGTGAAATAGTTCATTACTTAACTAGAACATAAGAGAAGTCATGTTGGATCAAGCCAATGGCCCATCCAGTCCAACACTTTGTGTCACTCAGTGGCCAAAAACCAGGTGCCATCAAGAGGTCCCCCAGCAGCCCTCCCACTCTTGCCCCCTAAGCCCCAAGAATACAGAGCATCACTGCCCAGACTGCCTTTTCCAGGACCAGTGTAGTCTATATTAAAATAACTGTGTACATGTAGTATAAATTCAGTGGCAACTATTTCTAACCTTAAATACTAAAAGGAGAATGATGCCCGGGAGAGAGGCAATTCTTATCAGCCATCGCCACCCAAGGGTTGGGTTGACCACTGATGCCAGTCCAATAATTAGCAATGATCCTGCCAACCAAAATACCTGTCAAATGGAAAATTGGAGGTTAAAACAGAAGGTGATGGGTTCTCTCTAGTCCTTATTTGTTTTAGCAACATCAGTATTCATGTCTTTCCTCCTTGGACTTTTGCTGATGCATAAATATTATTAAGAAAAGAGATTTCGCTGTGAGCGCCAGTTTCCAACTCACAGGCTGCCAATACAGATTTTGTTAAAGTAAGCAACACATTCTTTAGCTAAACTATAGAAGGTTGAATGTCAGCTGCCAATCATCTGTGGAGCGTAACACAAGGAGTATCCAATTATTGGAAAATAAATTTCTTCAGGGCACATATTTAATGCTGCAAAGCATATCAACGCCAATATGGATATTTCCCTGGCTGAATATTTGTACAATTCTGGAGCACACTGAGGTCTTTTATTTTATTAATGCATTTCTATCCGATCTCCTCAAGGCACCTTTCAGTCAATACAGAATACACACTAAAAAAATAACACTAAAACTAGGGAGGGAAGAAAAAAAACACCCGCAGTTCTTGGCTCAGGATTCAAAACACCATTTTAGTGACACAAACAAAGTGGTGGGAGGTGCCAGTCCAAGCTATGACTCCTATGATGGGAGCAGTTATTTCTGAATGGGCGCACCCTGCAGACCCAAAGATGATGCCTCCGGGGTTCTTCCAAAGAAACTCCTGCTCCAGTCCCTGGAGGAATGCCATGATCGGCTCCTTTCTTCAGGGGAAGAGGCTTTTGGGGGATGACGCAAGTGGGGGGCAATGGGCAACACATTGGCTGGAACTAGAGGTCATTTCAGGGGGGATCGCGGGGGATCGCAGTTCCCCCGGGTGAGGTATGGGGCGGGGCACATGACGAAGCCCCGCCCCCTGCTTCCGGCCGCCCCGCTTCCGGCCCTCATTCAGCCAGGAGGAGGCAGGAGAAGAGGGAGGGTAAGTTGCTTCCTCCCCACCTCTCCCCACCCTGCCTGCCTGGGGCCAGGGAGGGCCTTCGCGGGGCTTCCTTGCACTCCCGCCGGCCTTGCAGGTCCACCGCCGGGCCCCTCATGGGGCTCGGCAGTGGAGCAGCAAGGCTGGCGGTGGCGGCCGGTGATGTCAGGGGGTGTGGCATATGCTAATGAGTTATGCTAATGAGTTCCCCTAGCTCTTTTTCTACGAAACGACCCCTGGCTGGAACTATGTAGCTGACAGCTTCCATGCTGGGGATGCCTGGTATAAATGATGGATTCCCAGGAGAAAAAAAAAACATGTAGGCAACAGGATGACTCGCCTGTTTCTCAAAATGAAATTCTGAAAGACCAGAAAGGGCTTACCTGTGACAATGGCAGCATATAGCCCCGATACTTTGTAGGCAAGAATTCAGTTTTTATTATAAGCCTGGAGGGGGGGGAGAAGCAGGATAAAGGGAGAAGGTTAAGGAGAGACAAAGAAGTGTGCAACATCTCAGCTCATCAGGTGATTGCTATACATGATTCTGGCTGGCTCACAATACGTTCCAGAGGTTGACAGTGACCGGGTTGTCTTCAGAAGACTCAGTACACAATACCAGTCATCAGAATCCGTTGATGTGATTTCTTCAATATGCTAAAAAAGCACGGTGTGTCCATGCAAACAGTTGCCATTTGGGATAGCTGGACCAAGTTCTCTCGGGGCCAGCTCCAGTTCTGGGAGGGTCACTGGCAAGGTAGAAACATCTGTTTCTACCTCTTCCCCATACACAGATTGAAAGACCATGCAACAATTGTTAAAAAGGTGCAGCCATGCCGAATTTGCCATTCTTTGTCTGGGCAGCAATGAACTGCACCTCCCCCCCCCCCAAGGAATGACTGCTGTCACCACCACCACCACCAAAGAGACAAGCGGTCGAGTGAATAGGCACCACTGCCATTTGCTTGGTTGCCCCGACATCTGATCTTCAGAGGGAGCAGTTTGCAAGCCTGCCCACTTGTCTCCTTCAGACACTGGTGGTTCCTTTAGAGAACCTACTTCTAATCCCTCTAAGTCAGTGGTCTTCAGTCCTTTAGCCTTTTCTTGAGGAGGGGCTTTGCTTAAACAACAAGGGATAAGCCTGGAATAAATATCTAAATAAATATCTAAATAAATAAATAATCAATGGCCATTCCTACTAGGGTTACCATGGGTCCCCCCACTGGGGGCAGGGGATCCTGTTAGAAGAGTTTTAAATATGCAAAAGGGAGATCAAGCTGCTGAAAGAATAAACAGTTTTGTTTAGAAGAGAAACAACTGTGTAAAGAGGAGAGAGAAGGTTCTAACTATTTAACCATCTAACTGTGTAAGGAGCAACTAGGGAGGAAGTGGGCTCAAAAAGAGGAAGTCTCCAATGAGACAATCAGGAGACAGGAGGGGATCGTTTGAAAATACCAGGAAGTCCTTAATCTGACTATGCTAGCCACTTAACCCCTCCGATGCTCCCTGTAGGATATTCTTCTTATCCTTCTTGCTTCATGCACACAGCAGATCTTGTATATTCTAACACAGGGGTGTCAAACCTGTGGCCCAGGGGCCAGATTAGGCCCCCAGGGGGCTTCTATCAGGCCTGCAAGGGACTGGCTGTCTCCTGCTTCTTCCTCCAGTTTTGCTGCTGCTACGTTGTAGCTTGCTTTCACAGATAGATAGGCAAGCTTCTGCTCCCTGCACTGGGCTGAGGCTCCTCCCCCTCCCAGATTGCTACAGCACAGACATTTTGATGCAATAATTCAGAGCAAGAAGTGTCAGTTATCAGAGACTGTGAGATAAACAAAACATTGCAAGAATGCTGATGTTCCATGCAAATGTTTTTATTTTAAGTAAAAAAACCTTTGTGTTGGTGTCCTTTATAAAGTTCATATCTCTGCCACCTGGCATTACATTTTATGCCCCACATGGCCCGGCCCAACAACGTCCAATTTATGTCATATCCGGCCCTCCATAGCAAATGAGTTTGACACCCCTGTTCTAACAGATCCCCCACCCCCAGGACCCGTCCCCACCACCGATCAGCTACCCTGTGGGGGGACTTACTAGCAGGGGAGGCAGGCCGAGGCCGCTGTCACTCGCAATGCAGCAGTGTCACTTCTGGTGTGCACTGGAAGAGATGCCATTGCGTTGCAGGTGTTGAAGTGATGTAATATTTGGGCAAAAACTCTTTGGTAGAAGCCATTTCTGTCATAGAGTTTTTGCCCAAATACCAGAGCTACACGTAATACCAGAGATACATACAAATACCAGCTACACATAATTTTGGGGACGGACTCTATAGTGGCTCTATGGAGCATCCTGAGAGCATGAAAACGGTGCAAGAAGGAAGGCTGAAGCCACCTTTCCCTGTGCGCCAAGGTGATGAGCAGAAAAGAGCCAACATGCATCTGGGGGACACAAAACTCCCACCACAGATCTGACTCATCACAAACACAAGGACTTTGTAACATGGAGCATACGAAATAAGCCTTACAGGGGTTATGAAAGTTTCTGATTCTGGGAAGTTTTTAGGGAGAAGTTCCACAGTAAGCATCTCTCTGTGAGCCTTTGCTCTCTGGGACAACATTAAAAGAGCATCCTTTGCTGAGCTCAGAACTCAGAATGGGACACAAGAAAGACTATCTCCCCTTAAGCCTACAATATTTAGGGCTTCAGAGGTCAAAGCCATTGTGTTACGCTGTAACGAGAAGACAGCAGGGAGCCAGTGTAGCTGTTCAGGAACTAATGCCAAAGTCATGAGAAGGAAAGCTACCACATTTTGTAACAGTTCAAGTCAAGGCTGGCATCAGCATATCCTGAGGAAGGGCAGCTGCCAGGGCCCAGGGCTTCTGCCATGCACCCCCTGCTGCCCGCCAGGCCTTCCTCCGTCCGCTTGCTTGCAAGCACTCTGCCATCCGTGCTCCCAGCCGTACACCCTGCCCAGCATGGTTAGAGAAGGTGCAGGCATCAGTGAGCATAAATGGTGAGAGAGCTTGTGGTGAGATGGAAGACAGATGCACAGGTGTGTGGGTCAGTGGCTGGGAAGGGAGGCATGGGGGGCATAGTAAAAGGTACAGAAGAGAAGGGGGGCCCTGGGCGCTCTCTGTCCGAAATCAGCCCTGTTTAAAGTTTTCAAATAGTCTCCAGCAGCCCTGCACTACGCATCTTACAATAATGAAGGCACAGAGACAATAGTGGACAGATTCCTAATCTGATAGAAAGGATTACAGCATTTTTGCCAGTGGAAAGTTCTGTGCATCCACATTATATATCCTGAGCTTCTAGATACCACTGCAGATTTTGAATCTCAAACACATAAGACAAAGTAGAGAGAAAGGATGCCTATAAATATGACTAATCTGTTCTCTCTCCATGGCATTCTTGATTTTTATCTGCTGGTGTTTTGACCAAGACAGTGTTTGCAATACGTTACCCTTGAGCATGACCCGACACGCCACATCCCACCATGGTCCGGAGGAAAACAAACCAGATGTATGACGGAGAAAACGATGTCAGCAACGAGAAATATGCTCCCCAGATGAAAGAAAGAAATAAAATCTGGAACAGGGATATGAAAGGAATATTGAACATGTTAAACAGAGGACAGCAAGGTGACTCCAAAGAAAAATTCAGTGCAAGTTGTTGGGAAAAGACTGAATAGTGTTGACTTAAAGTTCATCCATGTTTAGTGGCCCCATTTTAAACCTGAAATTTCACAGTAGCCAAGAAAAAGCTTGATGATCATTGCAGAAGAAGAAGAAGAAGAGATTGGATTTATACCCCGCCCTTCACTTGGAGTCTCAGAGCGGCTTACAAACTCCTTTCCCTTCCCCTCCCCACAACAGACACCCTGTGAGGTGGGTGGGGCTGAGAGAACTCTGACACAAACTGCTCTTTTTCAAGGACAGCTGTGCTACAGCTTGTGACTGACCCAAGGTCACATCAGCAGGTGCAAGTGGAGGAGTGGGGAATCAAACCTGGTTCTCCCAGATTAGAGTCCGCACACTTAACCACTACACCAGACTGGCTCTCAGGACAATGTATTCTGTGTGAGGGTCTGTGGCCGAGTGATAGGGCATCTGCTTTGCATGGAGAAGGTCCCAGGTTCAATCCCTGGCATCTCCTGCTAAAAGGATCAGGCAACAGGTGATGTGGAAAACCTTGACTCAAGGCCGTGGAGATCCACGGCCAGTCAATGTAGAGTCAATGCTGACCTGGATAGATCAATAGTCTGACTTAGTAAAAAGGCTGCTTCCTGTGGTCAATAATGTTAAAAGTTAAAATGTGTATATGAAGGTCCACTAGTAGAGTTGCTAGGGCTGATAAATATCAGGAGATTTTGGGGGTGGAGCTTGGGGAGGGTGGAGTTTGGGGAGGAACCTCAGCAGACTATCACACTACGGACTCCACCCTCCAAAGGAGCCATTTTCTCCAGGGGAACTTCTCTTGGTCATCTGGAGATCAATTGTGATAGTGGGAAATCTCCAGGCGCCACCTAGAGGCTGGCAACGCTATCCCTAGACTTGAGGCTACCTCAGAGACAAACAAAAGCAGGCACTGATAGGATTCACACAAGCTGGCACAGCAAAGCTGACTTTCTGGCTTCTAGCCCAGCAGTTCCCAAATTTTATAAGTGGGACCGAGCTCTAACTTACTTTAATTCCATGTCAGGTGGAGCGTAGTCTGCTAAATTCCCACATGTCAGGTGATTGTTAAACCCACGGGAGCAAGGCCCAATGGAAACCTACTGTATTCCCCTTAATGTCACTTACTTTCCAGCGGCCATATCGATCAGCTAAAACTCCGAAGATTACACTGGATAGCATGTAGCCAAAAAAGACCATCTGAAAAGGATTGGAACACAAGTATGAACAGTTTACACTATCTGAGGAACAGCCCTAAACCTAATTACAGGATGAAGAGGAAGAAGAGTTGGGTTTTATACCCCACTTTCTCTTCCTTAAGGAGTCTCAAAGTGGCTTACAATCCCCTTTCCTTCCCCTCCCCACAACAGGCACATGACCTTGTGAGGCAGGTGGGGCTGAGAGAGTGCTGAGAGAACTGTGACTGGCCTAAGGTCACCCAGCAGGCTTCATGTGGAGGAGTGGGGAATCAAATCTGGTTCTCCAGATTAGAGCCACCCCTCTTAAATCACTACACCATGCTGGCTGGTGGATTAAAAACACAAACAATCTCAAATTGATTGTAGGGTGATTAGAATCCTACCAAACTTTAAGTTGTATAGAAAAATAAAATTTAGCATTAAGATTTTTTCCCTCTTGGTGGATTGTTTCTGATTTTGTAGGTCTCTCCCCCAAATGTAGATTCCAGTGCTTCTCTCAGCCTGGCTGGTGCAGTTGGTGGTCCAGGCTGGGGCACTGGCTGGGGCTGCAGTGCAGGTGCCAGCACTGAGACTGCTGGGGTGCCACTGGTCCCTCAGGGACATGCTGGATGGGGCCACCTCCCATGGCCTGGAGCTCCTGCTGCAAGGCCTCCCAGATAGCAGCCGGGAGGTCCTCCAGGTCTGCTTGGGTGTCCTGCCGCAGTTTGTCCATCTCGCAACTGAATTTGTGCCAGACCAGCCCGGTATCAGTTTCTTTGGCTAGCAACCTGGCCACCTGCAGGCGCTCGGGGTTGTCGTGGAACGATCTTGAGATCCGTCGCAAGTTGGCCTCTGAGCAATTTCACCAAGTTCTTGGTCTGGGGGTTACCAGCCAGTCAGGATTGTCCCATCGCATTTATATGGGTTGTTGATCCCTCAGTCTCGCCCCTTTGCCTCAGGGTTTCCCCTTGTCTGTTGGGACGAGTGGTTCGTGGGCTGGTGCATTGGTTTGGGTCCCGGTCCCGGTCCCAGGGTTCTTGCTTTCCTTGCTCCTTGCGGCAGTGGTATGAGGCAGTGAAGGAGTTTTGACACTATGTCAGACTCTTGAACAAACTTGTTTATCGAGAGATGAGAATGTATCAAGCTAAGACCATACCATGTCAGAACTGACTCCTTTGGTGCCAGTTCTGAAATTATACATGATTCAAACAAGCCTCCCGCCCAGTGACTGGTCCAATCAGTCCATTCATTCATCCTGCCTAAACCCAGCGCACTCCATTAGCCCTCCTCCCCCCATCTGCGAACCTAGTTACATTATCTACGAAAAGCCAGCTAGCAGAGACTGGTCTTCAAGGTTGTTGAAAATTCTTTCCAACTCAGGAGGCCCACCTAGAAAGCAGTTTTAAATTAGTTCAGCAAAGCATTCTTAAGCACTCACACACAGGCTGCCCCCCCCCCCCTATCCCCAATGTGAAGGAACAAAACAGTACAGGCAGTTAAAGCAGAACATGAGAAACCCATGGCAAATGAGGACCCGAGTCTGACGATATGTTCACTACACAAAATGGTTGTGGTAAAATTACAAAGAAGCAACCATATAGCTGCATCATAATGTGAGAAATTAGGCCAGAAATGATCTTTTAGGAAATATCAAACTAATACAGGGGAAAATATAAATCATACAAAGACAAACATTTTTAGCTGAACAGACAAAAATTCACAAGGGCCATTCACCAAATAGAATTTCTGTTGAAGTTTTTTCCCTGGCTGTATAGAAGCAGACAATGAAAGGTCTACTTACTGTTGTCACCAATGCCACTTGCCAATTTCCAAGTTGCCATTCACAACGAATAACTGGACCCACAACCGCAATAAGCATAATCTCCATGGCCTCTACCACCTTCAGGAATTAACACATGTCCTTCATTAGCACAACTGCAAAATTAGCACATAAAGCAATGGTTTTGCTAGCTGACAGAAAAGATCCTCTCACCAAAGTTGCAGATGAACCACTGTAGGAAATTAATTTGAATTTCACCTACATTCAAAGGCCATTATATCAGTTCTGATAACTTGAAATTAGGTCTTGGTGCCCAATCTCCACTTTAAAATTCCAAGAGATGGTGGCCAGGATTATTATTTTTTTTTAACAGAGAGATTCTAATTTCACATATAGCCCTTCTGAGGCACAATTGCCAGATGTAAGAGCCCTTTTAAGGCTATCTGGGCGATTCCTGCTTAACCTTTGCTAGCAAGAAGGGGAACTCATCCTGGTTGAATATTTAAAAGACTGGGGTCAAGAGAAGCACGTTCAAAGTGCTTATTTAAAGGAATCTGAGCATATGTACAAAGCACAAAGGCAATGTCTGTCTCTTCTCCTGGGTCCACAGTTTTCTCTCTCCTTCTCAGTACAGATCATCCATTCATATCTAGTTTTTCACTTAAGACATTTATCTAATTTTTTTCCATTGCTTTGCATAACAATGAGACAATTAGAGCTTTGTCTGTCAACAGAGGATTCCTAGTCAAAACATAAAGATTTCTTCATGACATGCAGGAATGAATTTTTTTTTTTTAAACTTTAAAATCACTGTGTTCTTCACAAGGTGAGACAATCAAAGGCCAAAAATCAAAGGATGTGCAAATATCTGTCACACAAGTAAGGATATGTGTTTGGATATATCTGCTCCATATGTATACCACCAAAATACCTTACCTGTATTTTTTAGAATATTTGGGTATCCAGAGTGCTATTCAAGATTATTGGAAATACTAGTATCTGGGTTAGGTTTTCCAGGTTCCCACTAACAGTGGGCAAACTCCTGACAGTTTTGGCTGCTGACCACTGATGCTCAGCTGGTCGGCAGGCAGAAACATGCCAGCCAAATGGGGGGCAGCAAGCATCACCACTGCATGATGACATCAGTTCTGGCATGACCTGGAAGCCACACTCTGTCTAGCACTCGTCTGAATAACTCAGTGGTTTCCATAGAGTTTTGGGTGAGTGCTATAGCATAACCCCAGCGTGATACTGGTGCTTCTGGGTCCTTCTGGATGTCATCATGCAGCAGCAACAATAGCCCCCACTGCTGTAAGTAACCGCCTCCCCCCATCCTCCATGAGTTTCCAGGCTGGCAGTCTTAACCCAGGTCCTGTATATTTCCAGGAATATTCAAGAATATCAAGGGCCAGCATTTTAAGGATCCCAGGCCTGGTTTTGCCCCTTTAACAGGTTTCTTGGGCAACAGGAAGGTGGCTGGCAGCTGGCATGAATCTCTCCTGGTCCAAGGGCAGCAGCTTACTGGTGGCACAAGTCTCACCTGGCCTGGGAATGTGGCTTCTTGCTGGCACAAGCCTCACCCGGTCAGGGGAAGGTGGCTCCCGGGCAGCGCGAGCCAGGTGAAGGACCTGGCGGAGCCTGGATTCTATTCTCTTGAAACATGAGTGTTTAGTGGACACAAAGTACCCTGAAATTATGGTGATATTTGGTTGAAAAACAGCCAGTCCAGCTCTCCTGAGAATGCTTCCCCATAGGAAATAATGGAATAATTCTGGAATCCTGGAGAAACCCATCCATATGCCTTGCGGACTTCTCTGAGCTCCTTGCAGAAAAGCTGAGATACACATGTGAAGAGCAGAACAAGAAAAGTATGGTACATATAGAAAACCAATTAGCATCCTGTTCCTATTAAGAGCAGATCACACTGAGGACTCCATCTTTCGTGTGGGAAGAATGCATGCTTTTTATGTAGCTCTCTATTGCTGACTTCATACACATTCAGGCCAGGGATTTCTATTGTATGTTTTAATTGGAATCCCTGGTAAATCTTGTTTTTTATGTTGCTCTGATTCATATTTTTGTTTCTGCCAGTTGTAATGGCCTTTGTTGTCGTTCAGTCGCACAGTCGAGTCCGACTCTTCGCGACCCCATGGACCAGATCACGCCAGGCCTTCCTGTCTTCCGTCGTCCTCTGAAGTTTGCTCAATTTCATGTTCGTTGCATCTATGACACTGTCTAATCCTTTGCCGTCCCCGTCTTCTTTGACCTTCAATCTTTCCCAGCATCAGGGTCTTCTCCAGTGAGTGCTCCCTTCTCATTTGGTCATATGCAATAAACTTTTCTCTCTACAAACACCAAAATCAATACATATAGTGGGGGAGCAGGCATGAACATCTGTGTTTGGGAACACTTGAAAAGACAGTATTCCTGATCATGGGGAGTCTATGGGCACATGCCTCCCATATGCACACACTCTGTTCTTATGAGCCGTTGGTCAGGCATAGCCTGGGGGTAGGGTCAGTGGACTTGTGCTCACTCTTCCTCTACATGCATTGCTTTCAGCATGTGTAATGTCACCCATAGAGAGCTAGTAACACACTGAATTGTGCATATGCTGACTCTAACGATGATTATTTTCAGAGTTAGATTATTACGGCTCCTTGTCAAAACTTACTCCAGTACTGCCCATGATCAGAAAAAGTGCAATATGGAACCTTCCAAACCCAATTGTTTCCACAGCGTCTTCCACAGTAAATGTCTTCTGCTCTAAAACATTGAGAAAAAGGACAGTATTAGCATGGTCACCAGTCTTACAATGGAGAATAACCACTTGTTATCATCAAAGTTCAATGTAAACTGTTGGAGGGAAAACCTGGGATCTTTTACAGGCTTGAGATGTTCTCCCAAGTAACATGGAATGAGATATATTGTTTCACTGATTCAGGTCGGTGGCCTGAAGCAACAGAACAAAGTTTGAGTCCAGTGGCACCTTTAAGACCAACAAAGTTTAATTCTGGGTACAAGCTTTTGTGTGCATGCACACTTCTTCAGATACATACCCAGAATTAAACTTTGTTGGTCTTAAAGGTGCCACTGGCAGGCTTAAAAGGTGCCACTGGCTTTGCCATTATTTGGAATACTTATGGTTTTCTGTAAGCCTCGCAAAAACAGTTTCCTTTTCTCCAAGCAACAGCTCTGCTTAATTAGCTATATTCTGGACATCTTGCTCTCTTTGCACAGTTTGGTGAAATTAGCTGAAAATTTGCAGAAATCAGTTTGGATTACTTTAGCCTACACAATAACAAGAAAATGGTGTTAATCTTGCCAGTTTACCTATCATTTGGACTCAAACTCTGTTCAATTGTTCACTGAGAGAAGTTTTGTTTGTTAGTTTGTTTTTGTAGATTAGGAGACAAACAAGGGAAGTCTGAGAGGGAGAGAGGGAGGGTGGGTGATGAAATTGATTCTGGAAGTGGAAAAAAATTCTCAAGTAAAATTTGACACTTCTGACTTGCTTTCAGCATTTATATTTTTCTTGTTATATTTTTTATTTATTTAATTTATAGCCCACATTTTTGCTGAGGCTCAAGGTGGATTATATATTTTTTTAAAATCCAATCAGATAGCAAATGGCATTCAATAAACAATGCAACAGGACCAGTATTATGGAATCAGATGTATGGATAGAATGAATTTCGGGATTTTATTTATTTTAAAATTATTCAATTTCTCCAATGAGTGAAGTAGCTAACAAATTAATATCTACACTCTTAACAATAAGAACCTACCATATCATTAACAAACCAGAAACCCTATACAATTAAAATATCACCAAGTTCACATCAGCAAGTGACATTCAGTGGTTTTCATTTGGATCCTCAAATATCCTCAAAAACAACAGTTTTACGAGGTCTTTGAAAGTGTTAGACAAATGGGCCTGTTGCCTGGTGTGCTAACACCCAATGATGAGCCCAACCACTGAGATTCCAGGACCAAACAAAACTTTATTGCAATAAAGGGGACCTCGGCTGCAAAACCCAGCTCTTTATAGACTGAAATAAACAACTTTTAGACATGCACAGATGTCTATGGATTACAGAGCTTTAACTTCCTTTATATCTATATAAGTACATTTGTCAAACATACATTTCTTTTGCCCTTATTTGGAGTGTTTATGCACCTATTTCACCCTTGCAAAACTACTCCCCCATCTCCAAATATCACTTCTACTTAATCATCTATGTTCTGGAACATCTTGCCCACTTCGCCACATCCCGTTTTGCCAGTTAACTGCATTTAGCTGGCCTAAGAGTTTGGCAGGGCTGACCTGCACAAAGCAATTTAAAAATGGCTTCATTCTTGACTACCAAAAGGAAAGAAGGGGGCAGCTTGCACTTCCTGCAACAGGCATTCCAAAGAACAGTCATGATAAGTGCCAAAGAGCGTGTTACATGGTGTAGCACAGGACATTCAACCTAAGCAGTTTGATAAAAGTCAAAAGAAATCCGTGGTCTGATCTAAGCAAGCAAGTGGGTCTTGCACAAAAATCTTAAAATCAACCAGCTGATATTTAGTACCATTGCCTCATTACACAACATACATTTAATTGGGAAAAAATATTAAAAATCGTTCAAATTCTGGAATGTTGTCAGATGCTGAATATGTGTGAAATGGAATTCTGGCTTCAGAAGGAAGTACAGAGCACTCCATGCTACAGAGAAAGAGAGAAGCAAAACACAGATGATCCTGTGGCCATTGCAGTGGGGTAGGCCAGGGATTCAATCATGGGGTCAATTAGGCCAGAGAGACAAGACAAGGTGCAGTAGTCCCTCAGAAATTGGGGGGGGGGGGAGGGGTGAAGGATTCCAGTGTTGTCTTGAATATGAGAGCCAGAGAAAATAAAAGCTATGGGACAAGGTTACCTTTCTTAGTCTCCTGTTCCTGGGTCCCCATTTCCTCAAGAGCAATGCCATTTATTCCTTCTTTTTTCTTTTCAGTCATCTTCTGATTTATGCAAATTCCCCAAGGATTCAGCTGGAGAAGTTCTCACATTCACTTTGAAACACAGCAGGATGAAGATAATAAACTATATCAACATACAGTATGACATTTGGATTGTATGTAGACAGATGGTGACAGCAGACAGTGATGAAAGCCAGTGTGGTACAGTGGTACACCATCTTGGACTTCTGAAATCTGGTTTTAACCTTCTAATTCTATTTGTGATTAGAATTTTAATTATCTTTATATTTGTCTTGTGGCTATATGCCTTTTGTTGTTATATCACCCAGAGCCCTGCTTAGCAGGGATAGGGCTATTATCATCATCATCATCACCATCATCATCATCATCATCAACAACAGCAACATTTCTGCAAGGATTCTCACTGGATGTTTAGCTAAAACCACAAGGTCAGATCAGACAATACAATGTGAGCCAGACCTTATACACGGTAGAGAGACAAGGCCTACCTGTTCCCCCCACCTAATGAGCCATCCCATCTTCAAATATTCACACAAGTGTTCAACACCTGAATTAGGCATACAGGGTTGCCAATCTCCAGGTGGAGCTATTACAAATTGACCTCCAGACAACCAAGATCAGATCCCCTAGAGAAATGGCTGCTTTGGAGGGTGGAGTCTATAGCATTATACTCTGCTGAGGTCCCTCCCCTTCCCAGGCTTCACCGCCCCCTCCCCATATCGTCTGGTATTTCCCAACCCAGAGCTGGCAACCCTACATAAATTTGATAAGTTACACACTTTATTGGGAAATCAACCACGCTGCTGCCTTTACATGACTAAGCTCAATTTGGACATTAAGCACCCATGCGGATGTACAGAGGGAGAGCAGGTCCCTTGGGGACCAGGCAAGCACTGCGGATCTGGGTGGTTTTTACACTGCCAAATCTGACCAGCAGAAAAATATCACAGTGCAATTTATTTCTAGTTGCCAGGTTTTAATGAGTGTAAATTTACATTTGGATAGGATGATGATCTTCAACATAACCATTTGGATACTTCATTTTGTAAGGCACATTCCATCAAGGAGTCAGCTCTTGGAATATCTTCAGATATGGGGAATAAATACAAAGTACTGCTAATCTAAACCTCTATATTTATTACCGATTTTGAAGTGGGTGATTTTAAAAAATCTTTTAAAATATAGGTCACTTTGAACAACTTTTGGGCAGCAAAGATTATTTATTAATATGCTAAATAAAAGTATATTCAGAAAATGGAAGAGAATTATGGCTGGGAGGGTGGGGTAGAAATTTGAAAAATAAATAAATAATAGCGGGAATAAGAAGAGTTAAACCAGGGAATACAGCCTCCGATGAATTTAGAAAAGGATAAAATTGTAAAAATCAAAGCTTTTGTTAAAAAAAATCATGAAGTTTAGCAAAGCTTGGGATGGGGTGGGTGTGATGTGCCTGTCTTATTTTATCACAGGTGTTATTCAGTAGTTGCTCACCATGTCTACATAACTGTATGCCATACAATAAGCACAGTATGGTAAGCTCCCTCTTTCCAAACATCAGGGAACTGTACTGAACTGATCCTTTACAACGTATAATTCCATCCAAGGAAGGGGGGGGGGATACATGGTGCATATTGACAGAACCAACGGTTTCCTTACTCATACCAACAAAAAGTCCTATGATTGTTTTCCTGTGATGTTTAGATTGTGTATCAATGATATGAAGGAGGGAACAGGGGGGATCTTTGTTGGGGGCCCTGTGATGGCAGCCCTGAGCCCGTACTCCGTGATGCTCTCAGTGGTTTCCGTATGCATAGATGTATTAAATGCTGTTTTAAATACAAACTTTTCCTTTTCTTAGGGAAGAATAATAGTGATCTCTAGGAAGGAACCAGTCCCAAGTACTTTCAAATTAGTTCATTTATAACAACAATGACATTTAGATGCCTCAGCCCCGAGTTTCCCCGAAGAGGTAGAAAGACACAGCAGGGGAACACTGAGATATTTATCAGAATTGCTCCTGCTCACCAAAACGTGACTTAATGAGTCAATTTTAACTCAAGTCTTTTGTATGGAACAAAACCATTCAAGCAACTGATGTGTTCGGAGTCCCTTTGAATCCTTACCTTTTAATGTTCAAAAGCTGGGTGAAAATCTTGCTGTCCTTTTTCTTCTTTCTGAATGTGCGACGATTCGTATTTTAGTGTATTTTCTTGAATGCTCTTTCGGGATTCGTCCTCTGTAGCATCAGTTTTCTTTAGAGACTGACAGCCCCACACACTTTTAACTGAAAATCTTTTGCTTCTGAAATGAGTCTCATGGTTTTTCCCCTGAATTTGGAGAGCAGGTGACTGCACCTGCACCTTTAAAAGTACATAATCATAGGCTACGTTATTGGATTATTTAAAAAAAAAACACCACCACTTTCATTGAATAATGCAAGACCTTCTTTTGTCCCTCCTTCTTCAAGGAGCAATACGATGCAGGTGTTTATTGAGAGAAACCAAGGAAGGGAAAGTAGCAGAACTATGACGATGTAATCAGATTGCAAACTGATTGGCCAACCAAATTGTTCCTTCCCGGACCAGCCATATCAACTTCTGAAAGAGCTAAGCTATACCTCTTAAAGTTGGGCACATCTTAGCATTTCTGCTTTGGCGAAATACAGGAAGGTTTGTGTTTCCACTGCACTACTTTGACGCATCTGCTTCTGCTGAATGGGAAAGCTGGGGAGAAAGAAGGACTGACGCCCAGTTCTGAGATGCAGGAAGACCAGGCAAGTCATCTGGTGTGTGCAGGCTGTGTTGATCTGGAGATATTGAAAGGGATGGGCAGAAAACAGATACCCCCCAAATAGTCTGGTTGGAACTGTCGCGCAGCGCGTTTGAAGAAGTTGAACCAGCACCTCAGTCACACTTGCACTCACCAGCAGTCATTCCACTCACCAGAGGCTTTCCAATAGTAAACCACACTGAGACAGTCCAGTGGTTACTATATACAGGAAATTTATTTACAATATATACAGCTCGCCAACAAACTGCTCCGCCAGACGCCATCCACCATCCAAGGGAGAACATACAGTAATACACAACTCAGAGGTCATTTCGGGGGGGGAACGCGGGGGAACACAGTTCCCCCGGGTGAGGTGCAGGGGGTGGGGCACATGACGAAGCCCCGCCCCCTGCTTCCGGCCGCCCCGCTTCCAGCCCTCATTCAGCCAGGAGGAGGCAGGAGAAGAGGGAGGGTAAGTTGCTTCCTCCCCACCTCTCCCCACCCCTGCCTGCCTGGGGCCAGGGAGGGCCTTGGCAGGGCTTCCTCACACTCCCGCTGGCCTTGCAGGTCCACCGCTGGGCCCCTGATGTCAGGGCGTGTGGCATATGCTAATGAGTTATGCTAATGAGTTCCCCTAGCTCTTTTTCTACGAAATGACCCCTGACACAACTACATATATACATTGGTCAGCCAATCAGATCAGTGCTGACTCATGGTGACTTGGCTTGCCTCTGCCAAGTCCAAACCGGCTGAATCCAGTTCAGTGCAGCTGTCAGATAGATTCTTATGATCATTGTGCTGAAGCTTACACACCGACAGGAACCACTGCAGAAATGGACTGAGGACCCACAAACTGTAGGACCAGATGGCAGAAGAAGAAGTTTTTCTACCCCACTTTTCTCTACCTTAAGGCGAATCAAAGCAGCTTACAACCACATTCCCTTCCTCTCCCCACAACAGGCATCTCATGAGGTAGGTGGGGCTGTGAGAGTAACTGTAATGGGCCCGAGGTCACCCAGCTGGCTTCATGCAGAGAAGTGGAGAATCAAACCCTGTTCTCCAGATTGGAGTCCATGGCTCTTAATCACTACAACATGCTGATTATCAAAGTTGGAGCTTGTGGCAGGGGAAATAGCTTGCTGTTGATTGTTCAGTCCAGGTAACAAACATTAGTAAAATCTGCAACCAACAACATGTGAAGTTAGCCTGTGAAGGCTGGTGAAAAAGTCTAGGCAGCCTCTATATAATATCTAGGCCTTGGTTGCCCATCCCGTTCTTACCTCCAAACACCTAGGAGTCCAAGGCCATATGATGGCAAATGATATCAGGGAAATTGTCCAACACTACTCCAACAAGCTTAGGGCCTAAGATTCCATTGGGATGTAGGAAAGATTCCATTTTAGCATGGCCAGGAACCCAGGGCCAACTCGCTCACTAGGTGAACTAGGCGTTCGCCTATAGCATGCCGGCCCTTAGGGGCGCCAAACTGCACCCGGCCACCCCCAAAGCCCCTCCGGCTGCTTTCAGCTGCCGCATCTCGGCCTGGCAGTGCATGGCCCGGGGAGCCCGTGGCGCTCGGGGCGGGGGGCTCGGGCATCACATGGAGGAGCGGCTGGAGGGATCGGGTGAGGGAGAATGGAGCACGACATAGCCGGAGAGTCCAGCAGCCGCACCCGAGAGACGCACAGAATCCATGGCCGGGGAGGAGGAGGCACTTTCCTGAGACACGGCTCCCTTTTTCAGTTACTGCTTCATAGCGGCTCCCCGTCGACAGCCGCATTTCTTTCTTCCAGGGGGACTGAAAGGCTTATTCCTCCCCCCCCTGTAGTGACTAACTTGCAACGAGTAAACCTTCCAGGGATCTGGCTAGAAGGGCTTCCCCCCCCCTTCAACCTTTTCCGTGCTGCAGATAACCCCCTACCTTGCAAGGCTGCCCCGTGGAGATTTTACTCGCAAGCAGCCTTGTCCAGCTGCATTAGAAGGCAGCGGCACTGTCTCGGGCCCGCCTGGGGCGGCGCCTCGTGGGGAGTGCTGGAGGAGGAGGAAGCTTTTCAACTTCCTCTGCAGTACGGAAAGGGTTAAAGGCGGGTGGGTGAGCAAAGGGGGGGGAGCCAAAAGTTCTCCCTGGGGCGGCTTGGCTCTTGCCTCGCAGCTGGAGGGACCCGGGAGGAACCTCAGAGTTGCACCGGAGGGGTGGGAAGCATGGCAGCTGGACCTTGGGCAGGTTTACTCGTGAATAAGTGGGGGTG